GTTTAGGGTTTGGGGTTTAAGTGTTAAGGGTTAGGGGTTTAGGGTTTAGGGTTTAGGGTTTAAGGTTTAGGATGTAGGAGTTTTGGGGTTAAGGATAGGGATGTGGGGTTTGAAGGACAGCATATCGGGACTACGACTGGAGTTCTTTAGGCTTACTGCCAAGGTTACTGCAGTTCTACAAGGCTTCTCAACGGCCTTCCGTACTGGCTGGTAGCAGGGGTACCATAAGGGTCACTATTAGGGTAGTTAGGGCTCTGTAACAGACTTCGGTTGGGGTCTAGGGTCAGTATTAGTGTGTCACTACAAGGGTGGCCATCAAGAGTTCTACAGGATACTGCAAGCGTGCAAGTGCTGCAGCATCCTGAAAATCACCCCCCCGTTGTATAAGGGCCATAATATCAAAACTTTGCATGTTCTCTGCAAATCCAATACAAGCGTCTGAGGTTCCAAACTCGATTCTATGGCCAAGAGTTTTAAGTTGTTCGGTTTAGAGCTAACTGGGTTCACCCAAAGGGTCCAAGTAGTCATATGGTAGCTACTTTGTAGGTATTGGGGCCCCCAAAGTAGATACTATACTATAACTTGGACCCTCTGGGTCAGTTTCTTTCAGTCTAGGGGATTTGGGTCAGATTTATTTGGACACCCCTCAGGGAACGCTGTTCACACAGCCAAGGTCCCTGCCCGTAACCCCCTTATTGCAGGGCCTCTGTGGGGTAGGGGGTTTAGGGTTTAGGGGGGGTTCTGTATGGAGTATCATACCAGAGTTAGTTACACTCCCCGATCTTGGCGGTAAACGGATACTCTACTGACAAGCAAACCGTTCTGTGATCTTGTTCTTGGCAAGAACTAAACAACACGCACAGGGCACCTGGAAGCACCAGTCAATCCCAGAAAAGCTTAAGCAGGGAGTCAGCTCATTCTTGCATTCACGCAGCGGGTGCGTGAGGTGCTGGCTCAGCCTAAACGATCTAGTCTAAATGCTAAATCCTGAGCCAGCCAACCCAAAATTCTAAAGCCTCATCCCTCAACCGGTTGACATTGCATGTTGTTCAAGATAACACTTATCTGGATAAACCCTGGAAAGGTTAGGGCTTAAGGCGCGGCGTCCTTCCTAAAGTCTACCTGGAGTGGGGTCAGCTCGTCCCGAGGACTGCCACCGGCACTGCAACGTGGAATTTAGGATTTAGGGTTTATGGTAATTATCAGCACCATAGGAAAAGCAAAACAACCACGAGGGCCCACCCCTAAACCCTAAACCCCAAACCGAGTGTTTAGGATTTGGGCTCGAGGTTCGTATACTACAATATACTATAGTCAGAGTACTCTCTATAAAACGCTACATTATACGCTATTCTACTGTGCTATATTGTACTCTACATGAAACAGTAGAACAGTAGAATATTCTACTGTGCTATAGTGTACTCTATATGAAACTATAGGATTCACAATACACTACCCTAAACCCTAGATCCTAAATCCTAAACCCTAAACACCTATAATGTACCCTAAACCCTAGACCCTAAATCCTAAACCCTAAACACCTATAATGTACCATAATCCTGATCCCACGCTCGAGTAGACTCTCTTATTCAACAACCAGGCCCAAAAAAGTTCAAACTTTTTAGGATAGACCTACTAATATATAAAACCAAAAAATTTAAAGTTCTCCCATTGGCTATCT